CTCTCTCTCTCTCTCTCTCTCTCTCTCTCTCTCTCTCTCTCTCTCTCACTATCACCCTTAATTAAATAGCTTGTAGATAACACTCCTCCTCCTAAATTAGCTTTCAGTCATCCTGCCAGTGTAGTGAAATCAGGATCCACTTTCTGCTGCCGGAGTGTCATCTCACCAGAGGTAAAAGATCAGACGGACCACTAGAACCATGAACGTAGGGCCCTCAGGCTTTAACGCTGTGGGGTTTTGTATAAATGCTGCAGGTTTCCAGTCTTTATGCTAAGCTAAGCTAGCTCATATTTAGCGCGCAGACAGAAGAGTGGTATCAATCCTCTCATCTCACTGAAAACAAATGAGCGTATCGTCATAATGTCAAACTATTCCTACAACTGTATGCATTTGATTCTTAAATATTCATAATTTCATCAGGAAATACTACAAAAACAAATGCTGTGTCTCAATTCAGATACTTGTATCAGTACACTGTGTACTCTGTGTACTTACCTGCGTTTCGTCCGGGTCGTGTTATCTCAAAGCAAACACGGCTGTTGGGCACTTATTGGAAATAACGATCGCAACATCAAACATCTTCTTCTTCTTTTTAGTGGTAAATTGCAACCGGACGGAACGTTACCGCCAGCACTTGTTCGCTCCATGAATGAATAGTTTCATTATTGCTTCATTTGATTAAAATGTCAGAAAAGATTGTCTTCAGATTACTTTATTTTGTCTGACCAACAGTTAAAAACCCAAAGAGATTTAGTTTACAATGATTTAAAATAGAGAAAATCGTTTTTTTTTAATTACTTTTCTGTCACTTGACTAATCACACAACCTTCTTTTAGCATCTTTTCACCTTTTGTCTCTTTCATCTGCTCCCTGTTAACACTGTTTCCTTCCTTCCTTCCTTCCTTCTTTCCTTCCTTCCTTCTGTCCTCTTACCTGCAGGATTGTTCGTCTCAGCAGTGTCTCCAGTCGGCCAAAACTCACGTCCTCGTTCTGGTCCTGCACGGAGGCAACATCCTGGACACTGGCTCTGGTACAGCTGCAACCAAATCCTGCAACTTCACTATAAAAGTCACACTTGCTAACATCGATTCTAAATTCCAGCTCCATGGGTGACTATGTAATGTGAAATGCGTTGAACTATCACCTGAATCTGCAGTTTTCTTCAGCTCTACGGAGCGTTGAAGCATCTTTCAGCTCGTTGTTTTGGTTTACGTTACTGTTTTCGCTTCAGTCACAGACTTTTATAACATCGTTTCCAGCTGCAGGCAGCTGTTTTCAGAGAAAAAACTCACCTGCATAACGGCAGGTTAGAGACAAGCTGGTGAACACAGTGCAGCATTTAGCAGATAAAGAGACGGACATTTCCCTCAGGAGGTGGTGGAGACTAAAGAAACAGACTTAGATACTTTTAACTCTTCACCTGACTTCACATGTACCTGCAGTTTGTTGAGCATTGCCACTTGTTCTTTGCAGGGGAACAGAACAGCAAGCAGGGAGACCTGAACACGCTGAGTGGAGCCTTTGAGACGGTGATGGGGGTTCATTACCCAGCAGCGATGGGCCGCATCGCCATCCGGATGGTCCCCTGTCCTGCCGTGTGTGTCGACGCGTTCGCGCTAGTTTCCAAGTGAGCCGTTACTCTTTAGTATTACATTATTGCTAAATAACCTGCTGTAGTGCGTGCACAGATGTCAAACACAGATAACAACACTTCCTCCTCCTCTCTGCTCTGCAGTCTCAGCCCCTACAGCTACGACGAGGGCTGCCTGTCCAGCAGTCAGGACCACATCCCGCTGGCTGCTCTGCCTCTTCTGGCTACCGCCGCACCACAGTACCAGGACGCCGTTGCAACGGTCATCTTACGAGCCAATCAGGTGTACAGCGACTTCGTCAAGTCTCTCGAGGGAGCATCTTTTAACGGCCAGGTCAGTGTGTAACCTGGAGGTTCGTATTTCTCCTCATTCATGTACGGATGAAGCGGATTCATGTGTGTTTGTGTGTCTGTGCTTTAACGCAGGTGTGTGTTATTGGGGACTGTGTTGGAGGAATCCTGGGGTTTGATGCTCTGTGCAGCAGCTCGGTGACGGTGTCAGAAAGCCAAAACAGCAGCAGACGGGGCAGCGCCATCAGTGTACAGGTAACAATCTCAGCCCTCTGACAATTCCTCCTGAGGGGGACACACATACAGATATATATATATATATATATATATATATATATATGTACAGTATATCTGTACCAAATGTCATGGCAAAGCGGTCAATAGCTGTTGAGACATTTCCGTCCCCGTCTCTCAGGACACAGACCTTCTCTCGCCGGGTATCATCATAAACAGCGTCTCTCCGTCCTCGCCGTCCCTCGAAGGAAGCCGCCATCTCAGCCGCAGCAACATCGACATCCCCCGCTGCTCGGGGCCCGACGACCCCAAGAGACAACTTCTACGCAAGCGCAGCGACTCGTCCACCTACGAGCTGGACACCATCAAACATCACCAGGCCTTCCTGTCCAGGTAAGACGACGCAAACTCTCCCACAGACTTCAGCTAATTGTGCAGTGTTCATCCGTATTCCTTTTAGTAGACTCTCTGACTGACTCTCTAAACTCTGGCTGTTTGGACAGGACCGCTCACTCTCTGTTGTTCCTGCTCACCTAGCATTAGCATTATCACAGCTCATTCAGAAGCTGCATCCATCCACTTGTCCACTAAAGTACTGTCCAGTGTCTGCGGTTAGCTTCAGAGGAGAAGCTCAAATATCAACGTAGTGATGCCGTGACAAGATAGTCGGTATTATCTGTGATGAATTTATGTTTCTTCTTGACATTTTGTCTTATTCTCAGTGGATTGTAGATGTCAGAAAACGTGACTTAAAGAACTATACCATTACTGACAGAGAGATACTTCATATTAACTGTAGTGAAACAAGTCAAACATCAACAAGTCAATTCAACTAATTTCGTCAAAGTCCTTGTTTTCAAAGGTTACTTTTCCTTTTTTATTTTGTTGTAGTGATGAAAAATAAGTCGTCAATGAATATTTTCCTCCCCAAGCTTCATGAAGGTCACTATCTGTGATTGTTTGAATGTTTGCAGCCTTCACTCCAGCGCGCTCCTCGGGGAGCCCGGCTCGCGGCGCTCCAGCGGCAGCACCATGCTGGAAGGAGGCTCTTTGGGAAAGTTTGACTTCGAGGTGACGGACTTCTTCATGTTCGGCTCTCCTCTGGGGCTGGTGCTCGCGCTGAGGAAGACCGTGGTGCCCTCGTTGGATGGTGAGGAAGGTCTTCTCCTCTTTCTGTGCACCTTTTAGTTTGAGTTCATTTCATTACGACGCTCCTCATGATTAAGAGCATGCTGTAGGTTTAAAAACGCGTCTCTTCCAATATTCTGCTTCCCTTCTGCTAGATGAGCAGGAAGCGGTTATTTGTAGCTTCTTTTCCGGTGTGAGAGACTCGTCTCCAGCAGCAGGTGTCAGGGGTCAGAGGTCATGTTTCTGATCTCAAAGACTGGAATATTTCTGGCTACGAATGTGACTGTAGTCTGTGTCCTGTGGGGGTTTAAAGGAGAGAGGTTACTGACCTGCAGCTGGCGGGTTAACATCTGGACTAATTACATTCAGATAGGATTATAGTGGTGCTTTGTTTCTCTTTTTGTTTCTTAGTTTTCTCACGGTTTTGATTTTTTGAGGTTCATTTTGGACCATGAATAATCACACAATTTGCCAAACAATAAAAAGACAATTATTACAACGAAACGAAACAAAAGTAATCTGAAGCTGCAGCTTATTATGACTAATCTTCTGTCAATACATAGTTAGTTTGGCATCAAAAGTGATCAAATAAAGTTATAATATTATTTGCAGGAGTTGTGATGTAACAGAGGTTTATAGCTGGAACTTATATTTTCTTAATGAGAGTTTGAGGTGCTGGTTGGCAGATTTTCTTTACTTTTGGACCATGCCAGGCTAGCTTTTTCCCCTTGTTTCCTGTATTTATGCTAAGCTAAGCTAACCGGCCTTTGGCTGTTGTTTCATATTTCATGTACAGATGTGAGAGTGATATCGATATTCTTGTATAATTATCGGGAGTAAAGCAAAACAAGTTGAAACTATTCCTTTAAACTCAGAGTCACCAGCAGCTGAACATCTTGTTTGTGCTCACCTGCAGTGGTTTAACTTCTCACCTGGCTTTAGTGAGGTAGAAGTGTACTCCGGGCGTGTCGGTACACCGTGACATCACTGCTGGGTGTGGCTACAGGTGCAACAGACTTGAAACTTTAAACCAGAGATGAATAAAAGTTGGTTAGTTGGCTCTTGATAACTGGTTTCATGTGTCACCCCACAGTTTTCTCTTCTTCTAATCTCCTTGTAAACCTCTTTAACTCTTGCCGTGTTTCTTACTCCTCTCCAGTGTCCGCTCTGCGTCCGGCCTGCCAGCAGGTTTACAACCTGTTTCATCCGGCCGACCCGTCGGCCTCGCGCCTCGAGCCTCTGCTGGACAAGCGGTTCCACCTGCTGCCTCCCTTCAGTGTCCCTCGATACCAGCGCTTCCCTCTGGGCGACGGACACTCGGCTCTCTTGGGTGAGTCCACACACACGAGACATACGTGAGACATTTCACTGCCTTAATAGTCTACATGTAGATGAGTCTTTTGTGCCTCTTTTTTACTCCCTTCATCTGTCTTCCTAGTGGAGACCGTGCAGAGTAACCCGCAGCTGCTGAATGAGTCTGTTGGTGCAATTTCCCACCGCTACCAGGAAAGCACCGTCAACGAGACCTCCATCCCCGTACCCGTCCTCAACTGGCAGCTCCACACAGACAGTGTGTATCTGTTGCTCTTTCATCTCTTTTATCCCTTTTGTGTTTGTTTGTTTTGCTGCAGTCTTTGACGTATTTAAAGGGAAATTTGTGTTTATTACAATTAATTATTCTGAATAAATTATTCTGGTTCTGACCATTATTTTATCCCTTTTGATAACTTACCAAGTTAAAGGAATAGCTAGAGAATTTGGCTCCAGGAAGTCCCTGATTCCATGACACAAACAAGATAAACAATATTAATTAGTGAGTTAAAGTTGCTGGTAGGCCGATTTTCTTGCCCTGTTACGTTGTTACCCTTTTTATGCTAAGCTAAGATAACTAGTTTAGTGCACAAACAATCATGAGAGTGGTATCAATCTTCTCATCTAACTCTCACCAAGAAAACAAAGTAGTGTATTTCCAAAATATCAATCTATTTATTTACCGATGAGATCTTTGAACAAACAAAAGTCTGAACAAATCCTCACGTTAGCCAAACTTATTTAAAAGAGAAAACAAAGGCCAACGGTAAAAATAATCCAATTACTTTGTTTTTAACTTTGTGTCTCATCTGACAATGGACCAAACGTACCTTTGTGCTAACACTACTTCCCTGTGCTATAAGGGATAATTGGTGACATTTCAGATGCACTTACTTTCGGTTTTACTTCCGAATAAACTGCTGACTGACTTACAACCTGACTGGTGTTTCTGTCAGACCTTGTTGTAGCTTCTGCCAAAATACTTTGCTGCCGTCGCGGTTCTGTTAACTGCTCGCATAAAGAAGTCTGACCTCATTACATTAGCAAAGTGGCGGCTCGTCAGCTTGAGACTCAGGAGTGTGTCTTTATGATAAAGGTGCTGATTAATAGGCAGAAATCACGATTACAGTTTTTTGGGCTCAGGACCTTGACAAGAAAGATGTGTGTGTGTGTTTGCAAAGTCATCGTACAGTTTTAATAACTTCCTAAGTTCTGGATCTTGCTTTTGTTTTTATTATAAAGCACTTTGTTTTTGAAAGGTGCATTTATTGAAAAGTTATTTTTTCTTTCTGGAATATTTCTTGTTCATCTCTGCAGTTAATAATAAGACTCTCTTCTCTTGTGTCTCTGCAGCGGATTCTCTCCACTCACACATTTTTGTGGACGGTCAGCTCCCATCGCCCACCTCACCGGGGGTCCCTCACCTCCGCTGCAACCGCAGGGCCAGCGAGGCCAGCCTAGCCAGCCAGGTGTCGGGCATGGCTGACTCTTACACCGCCTCCAACATCGCCACGAGTGAGTTGACCTCTGACCCACGTTTTGGTCCACGAGCTGACAGTTTTACGTGTTGACGTTCTCGTTTCCTCCCTCCAAACGTCCCCTCAGCACACGAGCGTGAAGTGGGCCCCTCTAAAAGGCCCGGCCTGCTGTCCCAGCTGGCTCTTCCCTACAATAGATTTGCCTCTCGGAGCTCGTCCCTGCGCTCACGAAAGACAATCCGTCGGGTGTTCCCCAAACCCAACGGCGTGGAGTCTGAGCGGGGCTCGGACGTTAGCTCTGACATGACCTCTGACCTCACCGACGTCACGTCCGACATCACAGACTTCAGCTCTGCCCCCCCGTCGCCCGGGCTGCTGAAGAACATAGAGAAAGGTACCCTGGGAGCTGTAGTGAGAGGACGTGAGGGAAGGACGCTAAACTCCGTCCTCGTTCCCTGTGCTCTTTCCTTCCTCCTCTGGCGTCTTCCTCCCTCAGATAGTCTTCCTCAGTAGTCCTGTTTCCAAAAACGAGACCCGTAATCTTCTCTCAAGCTCAGGTTCATGAGAACCACTTGTACGTTTTCTTTCGCAAAACCACCAGATATAAACCGTGACGAGGTTCTCACAGAGTCTGAGCTGCGAGTGTGCGTTTCCAAACCTCTTTGCAACTCTTCACTGTGCATTTGTTTTCATAGTTTGGAGTCTAGTGCCTCCGAGTGCAACCCTTTCAATCTTCTAACTTCCTCCAGTTTGTGATAAGAACTGTTCACCTCTGGATGAGCAGAATGTAGATCTGGAGTGGTGGACACCACAAACAAAGATCCGACATACCGGATGCAGAGATTCCTGAACTCTGTCTGTGTTTGTTCCATGTTTCCCGGCTGCAGTTGCTTCTCGGTGGTGGGGCAGTAAGAGGATGGACTACGCCTTGTACTGCCCTGATGCCCTCACAGCGTTTCCCACGGTGGCTCTGCCTCATCTCTTCCACGCGTCCTACTGGGAGTCGACAGACGTCGTCTCCTTCTTACTCAGACAGGTTCTTTACGTTATTATTTAATCTTCAAATTGAAAGTGTGTTTTTTTTCGATGCGGATCCACCAATTTGTTCCAGACTGAAACATCTCAACAGCTATTGGATGGCTTTAGTGACATTAATGTTCTCCAGAGGATGAACCCTGCTGACTCTGGTGATCCTTTTCATGTAGCACCATTATCAGGTCACAATGTTTCCCATCAGCCTCAGCTAAACTATGCTTAGTGCTAATTAGCAAATGTTACATACGCCAAACTAAGAAGATGAACATGGGTGACATTATACCAGCATCTTAGCATTGTCATTGTGAACACGTTAGCATACTGACATTAGCATAAATCCCAAAGCACAGCTGTTCTTCTTCATCTCTGCTTTGCTACATAATTTCTGTATTCTATACGCATTTTATTCTGCCAATTGTTGTAGTTTATAAATGCATTTCTTTGTCAAAGTTCTCCATCCTTTTCTTTATACTGAACATTCAGCTGCAGCTACAATCTAGAGCTTTGTGGAAGGACAAAGCAACAAATCTTATAAGGACATGATGTAACAGCAATTTAAATGCTTATTTTTTATATACAGGTGAAGATGCCAAGAAAGCAGAGAAAGTTCCTACTTTAGCTCCAAAATGAAAGCTAAAGCTTGAACTACTTTGCAGTAGCAGAATGCTGCAGCATCATGTTAGCTTTAGCTGAACTCTTGAGTGCTGAATAGAGCAGAAGCTGTATGAAGATCAGGATGAATCATTTACATCCAGAGCGTGAAACAAAGATAGGCTAAAAATGTTCTGGGCTTTTTAAAGAACAATGACTAATCCTCCCCAGGTGATGAGACATGAGAACTCCAGTATTTTGGAGCTGGACGGTAAAGAAGTGTCTGAATTCACTCCGTCCAAACCTCGAGAGAAGTGGCTCCGCAAGAGGACTCACGTTAAAATCAGGGTAAGATCGCTCTTTGTCTTTAAGTGCATTTCCCACAGAAACGCTTCAATATAGATGTAATCATTTCTTTTTTTACTCATAACGTTTCAGTCAGCTTCAACAACACTTTCCTTACAAATATGTACGAGTCACCACACTTTACCTGTTGCATTATCAGCTGTTATCACTTCATAGAGGGAGAACTGAATTACAGAGTCGACAATGAATCTTTAAACTCAATAAATTCTGTTTTATTTCCATCTTTACTTTAAAGACAAAACCTTTACTGCGTAATTTAAAGAAGTAATGTCTCCAGTGTTTCTTTACGATTTCATATAGCCACTGTTGGACAATATTGACATACTTGTACTTTACTTAACTATTTCCATTTTGTGCTACTTTATACTTCTATTCTGCTTCATCTCAGAGGAAAACATTGTACTTTTTACTTCACTAACTTTATTGACCCTTCGTTAAGTCCCGCCCTAAACGCAGACTGGCCAATCATAGCGTAGCATCGGCCTTTTGTGTCAATTTTGATAATTTTAGAGAATTTCTCATTTGGATTTTGACAGCTAAATAAGAGGTAAGAAGAAAAGAGAACGAGTCAAACTACTGTAGAAATGGAGATGACACCTTTAAACTAATCTCAGTAAATGTTACATAAATAATAAACATAAAGGAGGAGGCTGGTATTCTGATTCCCTGCTTCGTCTTCTTCTGTGTGTCAGAACGTGACGGCTAACCACCGAGTGAACGACGCCGTGTTCACGGAGGACGGAGCTCAGATGGTGATGGGACGTTTCATGTACGGCCCCCTGGACATGGTCACCCTCACCGGAGAGAAGGTGCGTACGACATAAACAACAACAACAACAAAGATGGGTTGTATAATCATTGATGTCAAACAGTGTAGAAAAGATCTTTGTGTTATTTCCTGCAGATCGATATCCACGTCATGACGCAGCCTCCCTCTGGGGAGTGGGTGTTCTTCAACACGGAGCTCACCAACAGCAGCGGTCGGGTCTCTTATCTGATCCCTGAGAGCAAGAAGCTGGGTATCGGGGTCTATCCTGTCAAAATGGTGGTCCGGTATGCAAAGTCTTTTTTATTTCATGTAAAGAAAAAGTACTTCTAAATCTCCTCCTTTCATAATAAGGTCCATCCTTCTGTCTCAGGGGCGACCACACGGTGGCAGACAGCTACCTCTCTATCGTACCGCGAGGAACAGAGTTTGTTGTGTTCAGTATTGACGGGTCTTTTGCTGCCAGTGTGTCTATAATGGGCAGCGATCCAAAGGTTCGGGCTGGAGCTGTGGATGTGGTGAGGTAAGAGTCGTGCACATTTATTCTGCAGCAATATGTAGAAACACACGCTATCGAGGTGCACTTATTCTGCAGTCAACTGTGAAACGCTGAGAGCTGCAGCTCCTCAAACATCGCTGCATGTTGGTTGTTGTTCGCAACAAATATCGAAGCACGTTTTACTTGCATATTACACAGATATTGTACGTATTTGTGTGTATATATAAACATATAATTTAGTGTAATGTGAAACATCTGGCTCAGGTCACAAGGGGACTACACCTGTCAAACAAAAATAAACAAACAAAAGAGCAGAGAAATGTTTAATTACCACATTATAAAGTACTTCAAATCCTTTAAATAATTCATAACATACTTATACAGTGTGATTATGTTTGTTTCTTCATTTTAAATATATTGTTTTCTTTCTTTATTTGTTTCCTTTAGTGCTGCTTTTATGCTCTATATTGTTGCCCACTTTATTCTAGTTTAAAATGTTTGAATATGTGTTTATAATAACGATAAAGCTAAAGCTTGAAAATAAGATGCTACCAGTCTCATTTAAAGCCACCATATGCAGAAATTCATAGTGATGATAGATCCCCAACTCTACAGTTCTCTTCAGCTCTACGCAGCTTTAGAGCGACTTCCAGCTCCTTTCACTGTTCTCCACTCTCATGGTTTTATTGTCAGCCGCAGCAGTTTTTAGTGAAATCGCTCTAAAAAGCCACAGTTCACTACCTGATGAGCCTCAAACACGCAGTAAGAGACGAGCTGGTGAAGATAGTGGAGCATTCAGCAGCTGAGACAGATGTTTCCTTCAGTATTGGACACAAACACTGCTCCGCTCTGCCTGAACTCACGCTGTGCATCATTTATGTTGTTGTTGTTGTTGTTCATTTTTGCAGATACTGGCAGGACTTGGGCTACATGATAGTTTACGTAACGGGTCGTCCTGACATGCAGAAGCAGCGCGTGGTGGCCTGGCTCTCTCAGCATAACTTCCCTCATGGCATCGTCTCCTTCTGCGACGGGCTGGTTCACGACCCGCTCCGGCACAAGGCCAACTTCCTCAAAAGCCTCATTAACGAGGTAAGTCGGGGCCAGTTTGAGGCAAGCGTCTCCGATAAAATCCTTGAAGTCTCTTAACAACCGACCTCCCTCCTTTGATTAGGCCCAGATGAGGATCTTTGCAGCCTACGGCTCCACCAAGGACATCTCCGTGTACTCGTCCATCGGCCTGCCTCCCTCACACATCTACATCGTGGGAAGGCCCACGAAGAAGATGCAGCACCTATGTCAGGTACGGAGTAAATCCTGAGAGCGAAGGTACATATTTAATGCATTACACTTCATCTAACAGTCAGAGAACAGTCAAAGTGTTTAGTTCCACTAAGCATTTTGCACTTATTTTAAGTGGCGTTTAAAGAATTTCAACAGATTAATAAGAGCTGGAAAACATTTTACATTTGAAATGACAAGAATGAACGTTTGGACTGGTTGATGTTTGGACTGCTTGAGAAGTTGAGAGGGGAGATATCTCATGGTGGAACTATGTTATAAGCTTATGTGTTTTTTATGTAAAATCCTGGTCAAAAACGTAGCTATAGCTGTGAACAAAGAACACAATTGTTCTTGAGTAAATGCACTATTCTGTTACATTGCACCACTGTAGGCTAAGAAAAGGTTTTATAAATGATTGTGTGTTTGAGCTCAGTCGCTGCGAGCAGTCCATACAGGTTAGTAAACCGAATCTGACTGGCTTAACGTCTCCTCCAGTTCATCCCGGATGGCTACGCCTCCCACCTGTCCCAGCTGGAGTACAACCAGAGGTCTCGGCCCGCCAAGTCCAACAGCACCCGCATGGTCCTCCGCAAGGGCAGCTTCGGGCTCGGTGCGGCCGGAGGAGAATTCCTCCGCAAGCGCAACCACATCTTCCGCACCATCTCCTCTCAGCAGGCCGGAGGGGCCGGGTCGGTCTCCCCCAGCCAGCCGGGGCGCACCGAGCGGACCCAGAGCCAGTGCGAGGTGGAGCGAGGGGATCGGGTGGTCGGGCCGGCGGCGACCCAGAGGAGCATGAGTATAGCCGCAGGGTGCTGGGGTCGCAGCGGGAGCACCAAGGAGGGCAGCGGAGGGTTACTCGGCCCAAAATAAGGTTCAAAGTGGAGCTGTGGTGTTAAAAGGACCCGGCCAGAGCCACCATGATCTCTGGACCGGACACAGAGAGGAGGGTTGGAAGAAGAGGAAGTGAACGGAGGGTTTGTATTGTAGAGATTAAAGGCAGGAGGTCGGGGTTATAGCATGAACCCTCTTTGATGGGATGGAGAGGGATCTCTTCCAGGAGGAGTGGACTAATCAGGCCAAGTGGGATCCAGCGAACAAGAGACAATTCTGTAGCATGACTCTTTTAAAGTAATACTTTTATAGGATACATCATTAACTAATTAAAGAAAATGACAAGGAAGGATTAAATGAAATATTGTAAGCCTTAAACTAATCTTGTGTAACGAGACCCTCCCCCCCTCCCCCCTCCTCTCCGAACACACACGTAAACACACTGTCCAAGCACTCACTCTCTCATGAGCTCAGGACAAACTGCAGAGCCAGACATCGTCTTTGTGGCCGGGTTAACCGGCCGATGACTTTCACTTCTGTTTCAGTGCCACCGTCAGCCGAGCGACAACAAGTTTCTCAGACAGCAACTGTACCCAGAGATGAGACACCGAGCGCTGAATACAGAGTCACTTCATCCGAATTACACAAAAAGACATATTTTCTCACTTACCTCTTGTGGTCACTTTGCTCCAGATTGAAATATTTCTTCAACTTTTGGTTGGATTGTCATGAATTTGTGTAGAAACAGTCATCGTCCTCAGATGACGACATCCAGTGACTTTCTTTGACCCCCTGGCTTTCTCTTGTAGAGCCACCATCAGATCAACATCTTTGGTTTGTATGTGAAATATCTCCACAACCAGTGGATGGATTGCCATTAAATTTGGTACCGATATTCATCGACCTCCCTTAAATATTCTCAACATCTCCCGGATAGATTAGCACAAATCTTTGTATAGACATTCATGATTCCCAGGTGATGAACCGTACTGACTTTGGTGATCCCCAGACTGTTCCTCTAGCGCCACCATGAGGTTGACGATTGTGGTTTGGGGTAAAATGTCTCAACAACTATTGGTACATAATTTGTCCAATACCTTCTGCTAAACTAATGACATAACCATCAGCCTCAACTGTTAATTAACAAATGTTAGCAAGCTAAACCTAGATGATGAACAAGGTAAACATTATACCTGCTAAACATAAGCATGTTGACATTGTCACTGAATACATGTTAGCATGCTAATGTTAGCTCCAGTACAGCCCCATGAAGACTAAGCCTCCGTTGCATTGAGGCTGAGACAGAAATCTTAAGTGAGAAAATGTGTCTTTTTTTTGTCGTTTGGGTTAACTGATCCTTTTAAACATCTGAGAGATGGATTAGACATCATGGGATATATATTGTATCAGAGGTGACAGTACTTCTTGTCTTAGTCACAGAACGACTTTGTTCCTCACTGATATGCTACATGTATTTAAATACACAAGGCTAGTTTTCATTCCACCGTTTGTGTGAGACTCTGTAGTATTGTCCCTTTCAGTGTGGCTCTCTGGGGCCATCCAAGGCCTTAATATCCAACAACACACGTGTTCCACAGACGATACAGACAGCAGACCAACAGGGCATGCAGCATTAAAGCAACAACCGAGACTCTGTACAGTCCACAGCAACAATCCCTTTATATATTCATCCGCTTGCAATACCTCCGATCCACCTGTTGGTGGTGTTCTGTTCCCCACATGTGCTGCTGCTGCTGGGACGCACTTTGTGTGGCGTTCCCTGGCTTTTTGCTCCTTTGGACCGGATGGAGGATAAACGTGGTGTTTCTGCTGAGTAGCCGGTTTCCTGTCGGGCTAAACTCTGGGAGGGATGGAGGAAGTATTTCCACAAAGCTTTCACTCACAGAGACCTGTACATTTTTCAGTATTTTTACCAAACGGACTGAAGAATGGGCCGGAAGTGATTCAGTGTTAAATGTTGAAAAGACTGGATGGATCCTTTCACTGGTGGATGTGGAGAAAATCACTGGTTTCCCCTCACGAGAGCAAACATCACGTTGCTGCTTCTGTCTACTGAACTGTATATTTTCGTATAGAAGAAGAAGAAGAAGCCACCTCACATCTCCAATCCAAAAAACACAAACGTTGTGCACAGAATAGTTTAGCAGTGCTGATGCCACCCTCGCTCTTTAAAGGACGGGTTCACTCTTGTTCAAAGTCTGTCTAAAAACAAAAGTCAAGAGTCCGAGTGCTGTCATCGTCCCTCCTGTGAATACTGGTGATTGGGGACGAAGCTGTTAGTCAAATAAGTGTATGTCTACAGACTTATTAGAATGAAATCAGACCTAAACAACATATTGGACAAATTCCAGTCAGGTTTCAGGATGTATCGGAGTACTGAGTCGGCTCTATTAAGGGTAATGAAAGACTCTTTGGTCTTTAGACTCCAGCAGTCATGCCATTTTAATTTTTGATAATCTCTGACCCTAACATGTTGTAGGGGTTCATGTAAGGCCTTATAATGGTTGTAAACCGCGTCTACAACATAAATTAGGATCACTTATGATGGATAATGTGCTGCTGCTGTCTCCTCTGGTGTCCCCCAAGGCTCCATCCTTGGCCCCATTTTATTTTCATTATACAGTATATGCTTCCACTGGTCTGTTTAGTAACCTCAGCATCCCTTATTATTGTTACACTAGCTGTACTACCTCCTTGAAACCCAGCGTAGAAACTTAATGTCTCTTTTGTCAGCTGAAGATAGACAGTAAAGGTACAGTCTCTTTTAAGCCAAATGGTTCCTGAGAGTTTAGACTTGCAATGAGTTCATCTCGTGGCTTAGTCCATTCTCTTGGGCCTCTGTCTTCCTCTAGCTTTTTCTACATTAGGTTGATGGCAAAAATAAAACCCTTTACCTTCTCTTGGAGAGGATTTCATGCTAAAACGACTTACTTTAGAAGATGTTCACTTGGTTTTTCTTACTGTTTTAACCTCACATTGGCTTCAAATATACATTTTGGCTTTTGTCCTCCGTCACTTTCACTGGAAGCACAATAAGAAGAGGTCCTTGAATGGTCAGTTTGTCAAATATGTAATTCACACAGTAGTATACAAAAACAGGTTTTAGCATGTGGTTATTTAAAATAGACTATTTATTTATTGAATTACCAGAAAACATGCTAAGTTATGATATTTATCGTAGTCAGGACAGAATATTTTGACCCATTCCTTTCCAGTATGAACAGGAGAAAAGATTGCAGCAAGCAGAAACTGTTTTTACATAATCTCACGTGCATCTATTGTTTTGAGACGGACTTGAAAACGTGTGAACCTCTCCTTTAAACCCATGAAAGCTTTTGGATGTGCGGAGCGGTTGCACCTCACTGCCTGTTACTATGTTGTTGTTTTTATGCCCAGCTTCCACACCACACCAGAGGGTCTGTCTCCACTCTGTGTGGGATCGGCGACGTCTTCAACCCACCAACAAAAAGCCAAAATCATTCCCTAAATACTGTAGTTAATCAACTGTGTAACCTCATTGTTTTTTGCACTAGTTTACGATGGAAATATACTGTAGTTACCATCTCATGTCGCTACATCTGGACACCTCTGTAGTGCATGACACTGTTTATTGATTTCAGGGTTTGCTGTTTGTGCAGGTACGCACACGTCTGTACATTTTTGTCAGGATATGAAAATAATTGAAGGTAAATGTGCCAAACAGTCAACACTTCTAGAGGAGAATATTTAGACCCGGGGCTTTTCATAGCCTCCGTCCTCCTGTTGTTATTCTTTGTCTTACTTCTATTTGGAAGATAATCAAGATGTAAACAGGAAGTAAAAATGTTGCTATGGATTAAGTGATTTACGCTGTAGGCTACGACTTGAGCCCCATTTTTTTATGTTTACATTTTGGCAATTAAAAGTGTGCCGACTAAGCTGTTAGCACTTCCTGTCTGTGTTGTACCCACGAAATGTACAGACAACCGTCACCGGATCACTTCGATACTGAAGAAAACTCAAAAACGTGATGTTTCTCTGGCAAGTTCTGCAGTTATAAGAAGTGTCTTCTTTTTTTTCTGTGATTTCTAAGCAGATTTGTGGATGTTTTTCATCAGAGACAATGATTCCCTTTAGACGTGCAAGTCACATTGAATCTAAAATGTGTATAATGTCTGGGTGGTAAGATTTGACTGAGTTATGACTCATTATGGTGGTAATTGGAAACTTAATATTTTAAAGTAATTTAAAACCCCTGATTTAGTCTGTACACAACCATTTATGTTAGTAAGAAGGGGCGAAGTGTTGTGAGCGTTACTTACTTTAACTGAATATTGATGATTTTTGGTTTTATTCAAATGTTATCCATGTCTGAGAAAGAAAAGTGTCTTTAACAGAAAGATGATTTTAGAGCAGAGGTCGAGCATGTTGCTGTAGTCGTTGACAATAAGCTATTTTATGGAACTTAAGTTTCTGTTGTGCAGCGGGTTGCCAGGTTTTTTGGCTACAAACACACATTGTTTCCCCCCTTTTCAGCCGTTTGGCTGCTGAGTTGAATGTCTGTCCGTTTGGATTGTGAGGCTCTTCAGGAGCCGTTGGATGTGTCAGTGTACATACTGTACAGATGTATATGTAGGACTTATATGGTTGAGAATTATTTATTTACCTAAAGATCATGATGTTACTCTGGAAATTTCAGGTGAAATATATTTGAAAAAAGAAAATATGTAGCATTTTATTTGTCACTTTGGTGGTCATTAAGGCTACGGACCAACACAGGAAGGTTTCTTTTTTTTTTTACCAGTGCAATATTATTGTTCCAGTCACAGCCAGGCAAAACTACTATCACAGCAGGGGCACAATCCACAATACAAAGCTACACACACACACACACCTGCAGTCGTGTTTCACACCTGGTGACAACTATTTGTATCTGAGCTACGCTGCTGTCTCTCTTTACAACAGTCAACCGCTGAGCATTTTATAGGACTCGCCGTAGCTGTTTTTCGAGTGTTTTACAGAACCTTTGAAGTATAACTGGAGGCTGGTTGTTCTCAGTCAGCCGTGGGTGCATGAAAAAGTAAAAAACCGAAGCGTCTCTACTTAACAAGCTGTTGCATGTCATCCAGGCCGACTGGAACTGCGTAACCTTCATGCTTAACAGTAATAAACCAGTTATGTTGTCCGCTATGTCGTCACTGTTTAAAGAAATATATATCTAAAGATTCTGCTGATTATATTTGAGAATATTACGATTATTGCCACATTTAAAGAGGTTTATCTAGCATAGTTTTAAAATACACAGTCCAGTTAGTTTAGTTTTAGTTACTACTGAAGTTTTTTTGTCTTACCACTTTCTAGTAGCACCTTCTTATAAAGAAGTAATATGTTTGAACTGATCGCTTTATTAATGGTTAAAGGAAAATCGACACCACTCTCATATCCGTCTGTTCAATATGGCCTGTTAGCTTAGCTTAGCTTAGCACAAAGACTGGGAGCAGGGGGAAACAGCTAGCCTGGGTGTCTAGTAAAGTCCCGGATAAGATATAGTTTTGCAGATAAATTCAGTTTTTTATACTGATTAGAGAAATGAGATTCATTAATGAGCTTCAGAGGGGCTGGTATGAGGATTTTGATGCTCTTGAACAGAGACATGCTAGCTGTTTCCCCGTTTCCATGCTTTTAGCTAAGCTAAGCTCAATTATTTAGTATTGCTTCATAGTTCAGTTAAGAGCCAAAAATGAAATGAAAAATCCTATTTATTTACATTTTACTTACAACTGCAGACTTGATGATTAAAACGCTTTATTGACCACATATTAACATTAATAAATGCAGACGTTATGGATTATCATTTCATTAGATATGAGAAACCACATTGGTATTTATGAATTGATTACCAACATTTTAAACACAAAAGGGATTTTTATTAAACTGATCTAAAATGATTTAAACACCATTAATAAAGCCATTACTCACAACCTATGAATCTCGTATAACGGGTGCCTTATTATTAAGTTGTATAAAGATCTATATGATTTATAATTATTTATAAATCCACACAGGATGTCATATTTTAAATACACAGCTGTCTGTGACATACATATAGAATATTAAAGTGTCAAAATATATGGTGGCAATAATTCAGATATATTTTGGAAATATGCAGTTTTAGATTTCAGTTTGACATGCTCAAAAGTATTTCTATTTTAACCCTTTTATTTAGCATTTATAAGCATCACAAACACTTAATAACTGTTTATTAAAACATAATTTATAATCTAGTTGTAAGCAATTATAAGGAAACTATATTAATTTAATACAACATGTACTCTACCGACAGTATAAAGCATCCATCATTGGATAATAATCAATACTTGATAGAATAACATAACATAGTTATAATCGTATATGTCTCCATGGGTTTTAAAATACATTAATAAACTTGCCTGTAACTGATGAGTACATGTACATAAACAGTTATTAAATGCTTTACCATAGGATTTATTCACGTATGATTACAACTTGTATGTTCAGTTTTTTTGTTTCTAAGCATTTCTACATGTTATACATGCTTCATAGGATGGGCTATAGTCATATATGTGTAACTGTTTACAACTTCCAAAACACCAAGTGTTATGAACCATTAATTAAGTTACAATATTCTCCTTCTAAATGCTAAACAGAGGGCTTTAAAATACAGTGTTTTTATTATTTTGTTAGCACCGGTATACAGATGGCTGTCAATTATTTTTACATGATTCGGAAAATGTTTAGCTTTAATTTGTGACATTGACAACCACTGATAAAAGCACCTTGTGTATTTGATTAACACCACCATGATTTCAGACAGAGGATAAGTTTGTCATGTGTCCTGTGTCATATGTTTCCGGGCAGATTGGGCCGACCTCTGACCTCTGCCCGGCTCTCCCTACCATTGTCTGTTCTGTGGAATAAATACAATTGGACGGTAACTCAACGTGTGCGCGTGTGATTTTACTTTGGTTTTCACTTAAATATATCAAAGAATACTGGGATGGTTCGTTGTGATATTTTGAGAGTCCTCCAGTGCCACCAGCTGGTCGATATTTGTGGTTTAGAGTGAAATATCTTTATTTCCAACTTCCGGTTCAAGCGATGATCGCTTCCGGTTTCAACTTCCGGTTCAAGCAAAAATCGCTTCCGGTTGAAACCGTTCATCTTTCTGATTCAACATCTGGTTTAAATTAATGTTCATTGTAGACTGAACAACAAAAGGACCACAAACAACTTTCTTCATTTATTAGAAAGATTTGTATTTTCATAATCTGATGTTTCCCTCAATAACTTTTATTATGAATACAATTAAAGTCAGAGGGAGCTGGAGAGACTAAACCCTTTATATATCTATATATAGATATCTATATATCTATATATATCCAAGCTGAATCTATTTGAGGACGCTGATTGCTTCATAAACTGCTTCATAGACCCGCCTCTTTTGGGCAGTTTCTCCAGCACCCCAGAGCAGCTGAGACGTGCACATGGAGAGGACATGCAGGAAAAGCATATATTTACCGCAGATATCATATTTTACACATATTACAGGGTGATTCCATATTTCAAAAACACAAATATTGACAATTTGTATAGTTTATTATTATTGTTATTTATTTTATTTGTTGTGGCTCAAGGTGGGGCAGCGCCCTAGCGCCCTCTATTGACCAGCCGCCACTGTATTCTAATATACTTAGTCGACGAACACTCATAGCATTTTTATCAACTAATAGATTATAAAACTGAGTTTCTCCACAAAGACTCATGCAAAAGCACCACTTAAAATATTGTGGTTACCAGAGATGTGCTCATAAGTTTCTTGGAAATAAGTATTCAATAAGGCCAATAAAAACTAAACCAAGTGACCCCACTTCAGACTAAACCAGCTTGGTGAGTCTCCGGCGGAAACACCTTTACGGAGTGGAAGACGAATAATTAGGTTCTAAACGGGTAAATTACCCGGCATGCTCTCTGTCTGACGGACTGAACCTCTTCTTCTGGTGAGTTTTCTCTTAACCGCTACTTGAGCAGAGGCGGGAAAACCCTCTAGCCCTAAAGATAACAAATCCGCCCTGTTTTAAAAACCCAGACGGCCGTTTAATGGCTGCGCAGGTGATCGTAGTGTTAAGTGATGTGTAAATAAGATGATATTTATTTGATTAAGTATTAAGTATTAAGTATTGTAATGTACTAGAGGGACTGGTTGTAGCCACAGCTAGCTTAGATGCTACAGGTTGATCATGGGAAAGAGGGAGGAGCCTTACAGACCGGATGTTTGACCATATTGACCGTTGGCACAAGTACAACTAGGACTACCAATTTGTATTCATATAAATTTCCCTTTTATACACAGTATGTGGACATATTTTTTTAATCACAATATATATATATATATCTTTTTAATTATATTAAAATACATTATTTGAGCCAATCTTTGCTTTGAACGACTGTGGCTAAGTGGCTAGCAGGCCGTCGTAGTTGCATGTCGATGTGTCCTTGAGCAAGACACTTAACCCCAAAATTGCTCCCGTAGTTGTGCCTATGGTGTAGAAATGTGATAGAATCTGAATTGTAAGTCGCTTTGGATAAAAGCGTCTGCTAAATGACTGTAATGTAATGAAAGTGTTCCTCCTTTGGAATGATGCTCCAGAGCACCACAGGTGTATTCATCCGCAGCTGAAAATAGTCCCCAACAAATGCCTTATTCCCTCTAAACATCACTATACTTTTGAGACTTTACGTCAAACATATTTAGGCTGAGAGCCACAGACTGGGTAGAAAAGTTAGAAATAATGAATTGACTGACTGGCTTTGGTCTTTTAACTGGATTTGTTGGCAACAACTAAATTGTAGAACACAGACATCATCCTTTAACTCTTTAAGAAGTCCAACAACTTTCACACAAACCATTGAAACAGAACATTAATAAAACAAGTACAGCAACAAGTAGACTTTCTTTATTTTGGCAACTGAAAAATTACTGTTTCAGTAATTGTTTTATGGGACACTCTGGAATCTTTGATTATAGTGCCCCCATTAGGTCAATTAATGTGATGCAGGGTTAGCTTAGTCTTTTTAGCTTTCTCTCAATCGAACATATATTACATACAGTATCAACACAAACACACAGTGGTTCATTTTACACACAAACAACGTGCCCCGTTCACCCCTGAGCTGAAACAAGGGGAGCGAACGGGAATAAAATCCTCCAAATATTGCACAAAATGGCAAAAGTTGTTTTATAAAATTGGCCAAAGTGAGGATAAGCTATGATTTGACTCTATAAAAATGTATTCAAAACATAATTATTCACTTTTTTTTCTTTTTATAATGAAGCACTTGTGACTTATCACACATAAAAAAAACCTTGTAAACACTTCACGGGAGGATGGCAGAGCAGAGACGGTCTGCTCTCTGGTGGTACAGATGGACAGATGCATGATGGGAAGCGACGGCAGCCTGTACAGCAAAGAGGTGGAGGAGAGACCAAACGCACAGAAGACAGTAAAGTCGTAAAATCACAGCTGAGCCAAATCCGCTCTCGACCTCCTTCATCTTCCTCGAGTCAATATTACAGTGAAATATATAATTTATGTGCGTCTATAGTGCGCGAGGCCTCTTCGGGGTAATCTGTTTGCTAGCTTGCTCCTCTTCCTGGAGTGTAGAACGGAAAGACTTGACTTTATCTGAAAGAAGAGAGAATGATATCACAGCACAGGTTAGCAGTGGTGGAATGTAACTAAGTACATTTACTCAAGTACTGCACTTAAAGTTACTACAAGGAACCTTCATTTAGTGGTGATTCTGTTGCTCCCTGTGGACTAAAGTGGTAGTGTCTCTGAGCACCAGTCTCTTTAGAAAACCTCATTTTACTGCAGCAGGGTCTGACAGTCTGCCCCTCTCAGTCCTGGTTCTGGTTCTCCTGTGCCTCCCTTCCTTCCAGCGGGTCCAGCAATACGTCCTGGGTCTCCAGCAGCGTGGTGTCGGTGTTGACTCCCAGAGAGGAGAAGCTCTGCTCCTGGAGGAGGAGGTGGAGACGCTGCTGCTGCCGGGAGCTGAGCTCTCCTCCTCCCTCCGGAGCTCCGGATCTGGGTCTGTCCACGGTGGAGCGGTCTCTGCTGGAGGATCTGGGTCTGTCCACGGTGGAGCGGTCTCTGCTGGAGGATCTGGGTCTGTCCACGGTGGACCGGTCTCTGCTGGAGTCTGAGCTGAAGGAGGTTCTGGTGAACCTGCATGAGTTCATCTGGTTTCAACAGAATCCGACCCGGTGGCCCTGATGACGAGCATTAAGAATAACTCTATAGAAACAGACCATCTTCTCTCTGATGGTGTCTTTACTGATGGAGGTCTGATAGAGGATCAGGAGTAAACTGAGACTGGTTCAGGACCAGTTAAAAGTTCCTCACAGTAACTTTAAGGGTCTGAAAGAAGCTTCAACATTTAACGACCGGACGAATGATCTTTACCTCTCAGCTCAGTGAGGATGTCGATCTTCTGGTCCAGGATTTGTTCTAGTTGAGTTGCAAACGACTCGACATCGTAGTCCACCTCCTCCGTCATCTCCAACAGCACCTTCTCGTCCTCCAGCCAGCGGATCGACTCCTGTAAGGACAGTTTAGACACTTCCAGTGTTGCTTGAACTTTATAATGTAAGACTGATGAAGAGGATGAGAATCTGCCGGAATTTTAAACTAAAATGGACATTAGATGTGAGCTGTACCTGGAAAACGGCCCTGTGGTCCTCCAGAACCTGCTCCTCCATCTCCACCAGCTGAGAGACGGCTTCATGGAAGGTGAAGAGCTGCGGGGAAACCTCCTCCTCCTGCAGAGAAACACAGCCATGTTTGGTTTAACATCAGAGACACTGTGACAAGACGGTCTGCACTTCAGATACCCGAAAGAATGAACTGAACACTGCTGTTCGCACATTAAAGGAACGGTTCAGCAGTCAGAGTACCATCAAAAGTTAAACTCTCTTTAGCATCATATTCCACCAGTGACTCCTACAGGATGAGACTGTGGTGGGTGGAGATCCACGGTCATGATTTTGTAAAGTTAAATGTTAAATGAATTGTCTGGAGTATTGTTTAAAAGAATGTGAATCATTTTAATTGCTTTGTTACATGAGAGAGAGAGTCTGAGTTAGTCTTACGTTCTGTTCACAGAGCAGCTTCAGGTCGTCTCTCTGCGGAGAACTCCCGACTCCCCACTGAGCCTCCAGCACCTCCAGCTGGTTGACGTGTCCTCCCTGACGGATGTCCATCTCCGCTTCGGGGTCCACCGTGAGTTCCTTCACCCTTAAAATAACAACAGGACCGTTGCAACTACAGCTGAGGTGTCTCGTCTAGCAGAATGGTCGGGAGCTGCGTGCAGTGTGCAGACGTGTTGAGGGTGAAAATGCTTAATTCATGCCGAGAGGAACAAACGATACAGACTGACTGCATGCAGGGTGAGCAGCAATAAAGCCTGGAACAATAAAAGCAGTTCAACATCAACAAATACTGAACGGTGGAGAAAACTGTTGATGTAAAATAAACAAAAAACAGGCATCCCTTCTACTAACTGAGGTGATGTGCATCCTAAAAATCTACTGAATATATTGTGTTGGCCATCATCAGACACAGACATCTTTCAAGACTTAAAACACTAATAGTTATCTTTAAAAGGTACTGGATGCAGCATTTTCCTAAAACAATATAAAACACATGAACTTATGCAACGATAACTCCTCTCAATCATCACTTACGACCCACTAGAAGTGTGTGACGTGTCTGTATGAATATTACAATTTATTAAATAGTCCCAGACATCCAAGTGAAGAAACGAGAATAAAAAGTGATGGAAGGGGACTTTAAATGCAGCCCTGCAGTTAAAGGCTAACTTTGGTATTTTTCAACCATATTTTAAGTGACTGATGGGAACAACAACTGTTTTTATTTAATTGCTCCAGTATTTAGGGAGAACGCTGCAAACTAATGTAACGGCACATCCAGTAAAAGTGCTCGTTGCTGCCACTGACGGGCTCAGATTGTTATTATAAGTGTCTGAAAGAAAACTTATTTCTGCACGTTTGACTTGAACCGGTCTGTTTGTTATTGTGTCCGAGACTCAAAGAGAGACGTCCCGGTGTGAACGGATCCCAACGTGTCCGTCTCAAAATGGAGGAAATGGTGCATTTGTTGGGGACTATTTTCAGTGGCGGATGAATCCACATTTGCTCCTCTAGTGAAGACTGTTTATGTGGGATTGAGTCAGAATGAAGGAACATTGTGTTTTTAATGGAGCTCTGTAACACTTGTTAGTGGGTGCATTCATTGGTAGTTTTGGTCTTTTAATTGGATTTATTGACAATAAGACAATATGGAATACTAAGCTGTGACTGGAATATATTTCTATAGCTCTAAGTGACTTTGGGTAACTTCTGAGTGGACAGGGAGCAACAAAAAGTGGTAATTAATGGTTAATGTCATACGGCAGTATGGTGGTAAGTTGTTTGTGGAGAGAAGTGATGAGACATGTCGTATAAATCGATCTTACTCGTAAGAAGGGGAGAGCTCAGAGCGACTCCCTCCTCCTCCGCTCTGGGAGAAGGGAATGTCTGAGGGACTAATCCCAAACTCCTTCACTCTAGGAACCGAGACGAGGAGACGAGAGAGGATCGTGTCATGATGTTCAGACATTAATGTAATTTAAATCTTTTTAAAAGGAGAATCTGTTGTACCTGTTGGCATATCTCAGCGTGTTCAAAGTGTTCTCACATGACGCCATTCCAGGAGAGATGGTTGCAATCTGTGCAGGGAGACATTGAGAGAAATATTTATCACATTTTCTATAATAATTCATGAATCTACTGGAGCTTGTAATAATATGCACACGGCTCTGCTTTGGTCTCACCATGCACGTTCTGGAGTTCTCTCCGATGAAGGAGTCTCGCAGCACTTGAGTTAACTTGCTGGCTCTAAACGGAGTGTGAGGTTTGTTTCTGCCCAACGCCCGGATACACTCCTACAGGCAGACAGGAACATCATGAGTGGTTGTGTAGAGGAACAATGTCTAAAGGTATAGCACATTATTATTGGAACAATTAGTCGACTAACTGCGTAAAATATTTATCAAGAAAACGTGAAAATAATGTCTCGTTTCAGCTGTTTTATATCATCTTAAATTAATATTTTTAGGTTTTGGACGGTTGTTTGGACAAAACAAGCATCTTGTGCTTTGTGGATGTGTATTTTTCACCTTTTCTTGACGTTTTATACAATTGACTGAGATTATTTGAACTTAAATCATATATTTCTTAATCATATTCAGATACAGAATCTGAAGGAATCAGTCAAATCTGCCAAGAATTACTATCAAAAAGATGCTGTCGACTGTTGACAATAGTCATTGATCTCACACTAAAATATACGTGAAACAACACAGACAGGGAGCCAAAGTAAATAAAATATACTCAACAGTTACACTACAAACATTTCTAGTATTTACTTTTGTTAATCATTTATTTATTATTGACAATAGGCCAGTATTTGAGTCCCTTAACTGAGAAAAGTAAGAATTATGGCCAATGAGCAACTGTTGCTTTGTTTTCTCTGTTGTACTGAAAACAGACTGACCCGTGACCCAAAGAAACGAGGAACAGTTCACACAACTTATATTCATTTCCTGGATGAAAATCCACTTTTTCAGATATTTATTAAATTATGTATTTAATCTGATGTCACGCCCCGACTGTGGCCGGTCAGACGTTAAACCTACGATGTATAAAAACCTCACTCTCCAGTGTGTTTAGAGACTGAACAGCCTTTCACATCCCAGCTGACTGCTCTGTTCCAGTAAAGCCACTAATGCACCGGATGTCTTTCACTACTGAGGAGACCTTTAGTGCCAGCAGGCTCTTGTTGATCTCGGCTCCTTCGAGGCGAGTCTGGCGGTCGGCGCTGGACGTGTCGGCTCCTCTCTCGTTGCCCGCCAGGTCAATCAGGGAGAACTTTCCGTGCATCTTCCCCCGCCGGCGGAGGATGATCTGGAAGACGGCGTGACTCCGAGAAGAGTGAGCGTTCGCCGAGGTCTGACCGGAGGTCCTGAAGGAGACGAAGAGACACAAAGCTTATCATCGAGGACCGGGAACCAACTTCTGCTCCTGGTGTCTTGTTTTATTTAAACGACGGCGTCCGGACCTGCAGCTGTTTCCCACTTCGATGAGTTTGAGGACGTCGTCTGTGCACTTCACCTCCTTCTCCTGCAGCCCCACCACCTGCACCTGCTGCTTCCCGTCCTCCAGCACCCGTAACTTGGTTTTGCGGTTTAGCAGATCGAACACCTTTTTATATAAGATAACAACAGAAGATTAGCCTTTGTTGATCCCCAGAGGAGAAGATAAGCACGGAAGAAAACTAAAACAAAAATAGAAATAAAAAGAGGAAGTATACAAGAACAATTTAAGACAAAATGACTATATATTTAACGTGCGTCCTGTAAAGCGGCAACCTCCGGGTCTGAAAAGTGTCTTAAAGCTGCATTCTCTCTAGTGTCCACCAGGGG